AAACGTGGCAGTATCTCTCAAAATGTTAGAGACGCACCCCCTTTGACTGAGCCATTTCATTTCCAGGACTTATACAGTGAAATTACTTGCAAAATCATTTAAAAGTATAGCTAGACATTTACGACAAAATTATAAAATTTTTTAAAACATTAAAAATAGGTATATAAATTGATAAAGGAAAAATCGCTGCATGTTTCGATTTCTCCAGGGCTATCTACTATTAATGATATAACATGTATTTTTGCTCAGCTTTTCATGCATACTTTTTCTTTCTGAAAATGAGATTTTTTTATATGCTCAAGATGTAGAGTGTATTTTCTATACTTTCTATAGTACGTATACTGCTCTGTGATTGCTTTTTTTTCACTTAACATTTTATTGAAAGTATCCCTTCATATCAACTTACAAAGTCTATACAAAACTCATTTGTTAACTGCATACCATTTTGATTTGAGATGTGGAATCATGTATATTTAATGAATTTCTTTCGGAAGGACTTTTAGGTTGAGGAAAGTACAATGGAATATACTCAACTGATAGCTTAAAAAGAAATGCCTCCTGCTTCTTAAAGTCTGCTCACCCACATCAACTTTTACTTGGGGATCGTTTATCCATTTCTCAGAATGATCCAGAACTCCTCAAGTTTTCCTATAACTTTTTCCTACTGGATTAAGGCATGAGGGCCTTATACTTGGCCAGAAATCAAAAAGTCAACTCAAACTATAAATCTAGAAATGCAAACGTACCCAGATGTCTGGTTATAGGGCTGGAGACCTGCAGGCTTGCACAAGACTCTGTTATCGCTCTTACAACCCTAAGTCTACACATTCTGCCAACTTCCTGCAACTTGTCAGCACCTGACCATCCCTGTTCACGTCATTCACCGTGGCCCATCCTTCCCCCAGTGTATCCCCAACGCCCAAACCAGACACATGACAGGAATTACTAGGCAGGGTGAGTCAACCTGAGCATAGAGCTTCTGGCAAAGCCTGTGACTCAGAGGGTGAGGTGGGCCCCTGGAGAACTTAGCCCCAGGCTACAAACATCAAAGGAGAGAAGCCCCATGGAGGCCTCACACAAACCCTCAGCTGCCGGCAAATTCCATTCTTTCTGCAGTAGGTTGCTGGGAACTAGGAGAGAAGCCGATGAGAATGCAGTTTAATTACTTCTCAGTAATAACGAGCCTTACACAAAGAGTTTTTATAAACCTTGCCTTCCTAGATTCTAGCCCAATTTTGTCAATCAGGGATTATTAGTCCCATTGGGTAAGTGAAGAAACTGAATCACAGAGGTCAGAGTTTGTCAGGGCCAGGACAGGGTCTGAGCCCAGGCGGGCCTCACACCTTGTTCAGAAGTCATTCTGCCCGGACACTGATGGATGGGGAAGGGCTGCATTTCCTGGGACTCGGCCACCCCTGCCTCCCTGCCCAGCGGACTCTCCAGGAGGCAGGGCTGCTGGGAGCGGACTGAGTTTCTCTAACAGATTCATGCCGTCTTCCGTTAAAATAAACCTCCAGTGACATGTTGTCATGGTGCCCTCAGCAATTCCACTGAACTGATCAGGGCGACTCTGGCCTCAAATGTCAGGCTACAGGGAGCAAACGAAGCCGGTACTCCACCTGGGCCCTGGGTCAAGGTGGTCTTGGTTAGTCAAACTGCTATGATCTGGCTGTTTCGGGCAGTGAAATGAGACCTGCGGCCTCATATCTTGAGCAATCTTCAGAGTTGGCTGGACATGATTGAACCTGTAGGTTCAAACTAGCTATGTTCGGCTGGAAAAACAAACGAACCCACTCTTCTAGCTCCTCTTCTAACACGAAAACAGGAAAGACAGCAAAGGCATGATGTGCTAAGCTTTGTAGTTGTCAACCGTACCTTAATGAGAGGACACGTCCCTTCAAAATGGGGCCCTGGCTAATTGGGCAAGATTCTTCCTGTTTGGGGAGACAGTTCCATTAAATAAAAGCATCTCATTTCTGCAGCATGGCTTGTCCCCTCTCTGGCTTCCCGCACGCCACTTTCTTCCTGACCCTTCTGCTCACAAGGAGCCCAACATCAATCAGCCCACCCACTGGCCCGTGAAGGGAGAGGGACTGAGGCCTCAGAACAAAAGCCTCACGGAAAGATGTCAGACCCCATCACCATCGCAGGGGCCCTCGGGTAGAATAACGAACCACGCTGGCCTGTCCCCCTTTCACAGCTGAATGTAAAAACAGACCAGCACCTTACGCACCCTGCATTGAATTTCCTTGACAGGCATACAGGATTACGGTGTGTAACTTTCCAGGGGCCTCCTCGGGTTACCATACATATTAATACACACACACCGGCATTTGAAGAAAGGAAAACAGGGGTTGCTTGGCCGTGATTTGTAATTGAATTCACCTGGGAATTTTAAATCCTGAAAATTCAGCCCGGGTTTACAGTATTTTAAGGTTTGAACAGCACAGGATTTTGTCCTTTTGAACGGCAAATCTCTTTTCCATTTCAGAGAAAGTTTCTTCAGTGTGGCAGGCATTTCCAAGCCAATTGCAAAAATCATTACCTTCAGAAACTAGGGAATGGGACAAATGGGACAAAAACTAGGGAGTGGTAACAAAGGCCATCCCTTTGAAAGCAATCTAGGCTTCACGGCTTCCTAAATCTCTGTAAAGATGACGCTCGCCCCAGCCCCATTGTGTTGGGACAATGGCGACCCAGGAAGCGGAGAGGAGTTGAATGGGAGACTTCTGTGGGCACGTGAAACTAGATCTCTCTACTCCAACTCTTGGCAAGCCACACTGACAATGAGAGAGGCTCTGCTGGAGGGGACCCATGCCACCATTTCTGCCACACGATATCCGTTCCAGAGGTGGCTTGAAGTCTCCAGCCTGTTCTCCAAAGACCCATGGGATTTGCCAGACATTGGCCAGTCAAGCATCAGATGCCCCCCATCTCCCTTCTAGCTAAGCAAATTGGAATTTATTCCCACAGAGAAACTCAATGAGTTCCTATCCCAAGGGGCTCAGCAGAAATCAAGAAAAGCTGGGTTTCTGGGATCTATCTCTTCCCGTCAGCCTCCTGCATTCTCAAGGCAGTCATGTATGGGAGTTCTGACTGCACACTGCACAAAGGCACAGCATGTCCTCCATTGCAGGGTGGACACAAGAGACTGCATGTGCAGGTGTGGAGATTCTGGGCCCCCCAGCTGGGCCTGAAGCACAGATGCCCGTGGGCACACAAGACCATGCACACCTGGGAAAGCTGGAAGCAGACCTGCTGGAAGCCGCGTGCACTCGAGGCAGCTGCTCCCTGACTCGAGCACGTCCTTGGCATCTTCAAGATCTTGCCTCTCCCCCACCCACCACTCTTGGAGCCTCAGTCCCCTTACTGCAGGCTTCAAAACCTGACTAGATCCCCTCCCTTGGGGGCCAACAGAGGAGGCCTGGGGTGGGGGTGTGGCTGGCCACCTGTGCCCCTGGGCCTCGGGCAAGTGCAGGCTATTCATAGTCAGGCCTGCTGCCCTCTGGGCTCTGAGAAGCTCCCCAGAGTAAACATGGACCATTGTGGAGTAAGAGGTTTGTTTTTTTTTTTTTCAGTTGACAACAAAGACTTTTTTTTTTTCTAATTCACAGCCCTGAAAGTTCTGTTTCCCTGCCCCTTCTATTCGTGGCTGAGGCTGAGGCTTTCCTTTTATCATAGGGCCCCAACCAGAAATTCTCTGAAGCTTTTCCCTGTTGGTACCATGACCATATACTATGACTGTTTGTCCGCTTTGTTTTCCCTCCCCTCTCTCTCTTCCCACCTTTGAAAGCCAGCTTCTCTTTCCTCCTGACCTTAATCAATCCTGTCCCCACTTCAAAGATTTTTGGGACTGGGGTGACCCAGCCCGTACGTGGCAAACTCATGCTTCTAGCCTCAGCTGCTAGCACAGAGCTTACCCCCAGGTCCCTGGAATGAGGGGTCACCATCACCACACGCAACCCTCCGGACCTCCCAGCCTTAAGTCAACGTCTGAGCTCTGTGTCAGAAAAAAGCAAAAAGAACCCACCAACTACCACCCACATCAACACCGCCTCCCTAGCTCGATGGGTACACTGTTTCTCTTCCTATGATGATGCCGAAAGAGGCGAGGAAAAATCCTTGACCCCTTCTGAAGGTCAAGGAAGTGCTCTGCACCTTGGAGGGTAAGAACTTGTAGCTGAAGTTTGTCTCGGGCACCTAGGCACAGAAAGACTAGTTCTTGAGGTCCCCATAGAGAATGCACATTTTTACGGCTGGCCACATCACATGGCGGTCACCCTGTCCACTCCTCACCAGCTACCTGCTTCTGAAGCCAGCCACCTCTGTGAGAAAGTGAAGAGCAGTCGAGTCCCCTGAGGCCTGGGAGTCTGGAGACCGGTGACTCCCATGGGGTCACCTCCTGACCTGTGTCCAGGCTTTCCTTCTGTGAAATGCTGCCCCTTCTACCAGTAGGACTCTGTCATTTTATAAGAACCATCCTGACACTGGACAAAGCAACAGGCCACTGTGTAGGTGGACCCATCACAAAGGGGTTAGAGCATGAAGCCTGGAGTGGGACAACACTCCGTTTCCCTTAGGCCACAGGGTTCCACTAATTAAGGTGATGTCACTCTCAACCTGCCTGACCAGGGCTGGGATTACAAAAGGGCCTGGCCACACCAGGGGCTTTGGGGACTCCAGGCTGGACAGGCCAGGTCTTAGTGCCAAGGTTCCCCAGTCAGGGTACCTGGTACTTCCTTGTTCCCTTTCAGGGCTGAGAGGGAGTCAGGCAAATGCCAACTGAATTTCATTTCTCTGTTGTTTCTGATGCAAAGAGCACTGTGCTAGAGCCTGTTGCCCGAATACATCGCTCTGGTCAGAAATGCAGGAATCGGGGAATCTTGGTAGAAAGGAGACAGGAGAGGTGAATGAGAGTCCGCTCCCTTCTGCCCATGGCCTGAAGTTTGGGTCACCCTTCGCAAGCGAAGGGGCTGAGCCCAGGAGACATGACAACTCACGTGGCTCCTTTTGCTTTCTTCATCTCCCATAGACGTGATGACTGTCTCCGAGAAGACTGTTTGTCCAGTCTGGTTGTTGGTTACCTACGGCAGAGCAAGTACGGTGAATGTGAAACAGAAGGAATTCTGGGCAAATCCCACAAGCTGGTTTCTTTCTTTTTTTTTTTTTTAAGATTTTATTTATTTGACAGAGAGAGACACAGCAGAGAGGGAACACAGCAGGGGGAGTGGGAGAGGGAGAAGCAGGCTTCCCACTAAGCAGGGAGCCCAATGTGGGCCTCAATCCCAGGACCCTGGGATCATGACCTGAGCGAAAGGCAGTTGCTTAACGACTGAGCCACCCGGGTGCCCATTTTTCCCACTTCCTGAAGCCACAACATCTGCCCAAGTCAACAGAATGCCTGCTCCACCTTTTATTTTTATTTTAGCTGCGGCCGCTAGGCGGACGGCCCCTTCTCGGTGCAGCCGTCAGAAACACAGCAGAGTCTCCCTCACAGGGCTGCTCCGTGGAGGGACGGCGGGGGCTTTGCACAGAGCCCGGCATGCAGCAAACACTCAGCAGTAGCTGTTTCTACTGTTCTCGGGCTTATCACTCAGCACTCAACGGCAACATCCTTTTCAACAACAACCCATCTGGGCGTCTCATCAAACATCTTTCATGAGAAGCAAGAAGGTTTTAGCTAGAGCTGCCCCCGTCCTGATTCTGGTGACATAGTTCATCTAGGAAGTGCTCTGGTGACATAGTTCATCTAGGAAGTGCTTTAGTGCAAAGGGAGTCCTCCCCTCCACCTGCTGTCTGCATCTGATGGTGTTTACCGGCGGGAGACGCCTCTGGGCTGAGCCCCGCATCCTGCTCGCACCCCGCGCCACTCCTGCCCCATCCGAGGTCCTGTCTGAGGAACGCTAGTGCCAGCAATGAAGATTAGAAGGGACGTCTGCCCAGCAGGTAGGGGATCTGGGTTCTCTGAGCCTCAGCTCAGCTACCACCAACCACCTAGTGTGTCACCAGGAGTAAGTCACTTCTCTGATTCACCATGTCCTCATTTCTAGGTCATCTACAAAGTTCCTGCCAGCTCTAATATCACAAGGAAACTGTCCAAAACGGAGCAGAAACACAGCCTACTTTGTCACAGTGGACCAAATTCCAGTTCTGGGGAGATAAGGATCATATCCTCACCAACACGCTTCAATACTTTTAGGCAAATAAATCCTCTCCCCAAAAAAGAGGCAGCATCCTTTTCCTCTCTGCCAGATTTTTGCCGAATTAACTGATGGTATATTTTTTAAAAATTCTATGATCCTGGGGCGCCTGGGTGGCTCAGTGGGTTAAGCCGCTGCCTTCGGCTCAGGTCATGGTCTCGGGGTCCTGGAATCGAGTCCCGCATCGGGCTCTCTGCTCAGCAGGGAGCCTGCTTCCCTCTCTCTCTCTCTCTCTCTCTCTCTCTCTCTCTGCCTGCCTCTCGGTCTACTTGTGGTCTCTCTCTGTCAAATAAATAAATAAAATCTTTAAAAAAAAAAAATTCTATGGTCCTATACTGCAGGTACAGGTTGCAGGACTTCTAAGAGCCTTTGTTATACTAATGGGCATTTTCCTATCTCTAGGAGAAATAATTAAGATGTTTCCTGAACATGTTTCACCACTGCCCAGCCCCTCGTGAAGCACAGAACAGACGGTCCGTGGAACCCACTGGAGAGCTGCTACATGGTGCTCATGACATAACTTTACCGGAAGAAACAGGAATAGAACAACGGGCTGTCGTAAGAACCTTGTTGTTTACGGTGAGCTCTCAGGTACCGGAAGTCATCTGACCCCCATGCTACTGTCACGTACGTACCGACCTCCCTATTTCCTAAATGCAGTTAGTGAGGGACATAAAATTTAAATGGTTTTTCAAAATCACACTAGTTACCCGTAGGACTCACACCTGGGTTTCCCAACATCTACAAGAAGCAACCTTTAAGCAGAGGCAATCCTGTTACCTAATTATCGTCAAAGAGAAGGACTTAATATTGGTTTTGGCAAAAGTAAAACAAAGACTTTTGGAAACATTCTCCAGGCCTCTGATGAGCAATGCCGAAGGACTGGTCAGCAGGTGACTTGTTCATTTATCTGGGGGCGAGGCAGAGGGTACACCCAGCTGAAGCTGGGACAGCGGGAAAAATGCCACACAAAGGCTACTTTACAATCAAGGCAATGGCCCATAAAAATCGACCCCCTTATGCTCCACGACACAGACACGCTATTGTTTCAACCGAGTCTTTACCTGGGCCCTTGAACAAAAGTGAGACCCTCTCGTTGGAGCCATTGGGCCTTGCACATATGGGCTGAGATGAGGTTTGAGGTCAAGCTCCTTGATGCTCACAGCAGAACGTCAACTCGATAGCCTCTACCTGTGACCCTGAATATCGGCACGTCAGACTCTTCAAGGGAAACCAGGTTCACGGGCTTTGCCCTCCCCGTCCTGCCTACATCATGCCAGACACATCTCATGCCAGGATGGGTTAAGGCTACGTGCTTCTGGATTTGCAACGTTTTCTTCTTCAAGTCAGGGGGAGAAATGAACCTGCTTGTTCCTCATGTCAGATATCAAACCAGGAGACACTGAGACATGGGGCAGGCTAGAAAAAACTCTGCTATAGAAATCTGAGTGGTTAGCCAGCAAACAAATATTCAGTCTTAATGGCAAAGGAGGCGTTCCCTCCCAAAGATGGAGTATAACCCATTTGAGTTCCTCCTGAGGAAACAGTGAGGATCTATTCAGCAAACATGGACTCTATTCCAACTCCCTGCTAAAACACACGTTGAAACCTATGAGATAAATTCCTCAAATTCAATACTAGAGAAGTCTCTCTCTAGACACTTGTTTGCACCCTTTTATCAAATGATAAAAACTCCCGACCATTCCTTTGCAATCAGATTGGCAGGCAGCCTAGAGTTAAATTTATTGCTTAAATGCAAAAGCAATTTAGGTTTCTGATACGCAGCTTTCCCTCTTAAATAGCTCCCTCACTCCCTCCGGTTTTTAATCTGTGTTTTACCAACCTCATTTGCATTTTTGGCTTGTGGATCCAATTTGTAAACAAGACCTTAGTTCTCTGATAGGACAGGAAGCTAAGGAAAAGGGGAGGTGCTGGCTGCGGCCACACTTACCTTGTGAATTTCTCGGTGCACGTGGATGGTATTATTTCCCACCTTGGTTTCCGTGTTGGTCTCATTGTGATAGCTGGAAGGCAAGCTTGCCACGTTCACTTCAGATGTTTTAGCTGCAGCTTCTTCTGCTTCCATCTATTAAATCAATGAATTTAATGAGCAAATTGTTTTCTCTTGATACAAATCAGTCCGTTAGAAAAACAGAACCACCCTCTTCCTCTTCTGCAATTATAAATAATGGTAGTAGTAATAGGTCCTGTTAATTGCCCACCAGGATAAGACACTGCACTAAAAGTTTTACAACTATTATAGCCTTAAATCTCACAGCCTCCCTCGAAGGTAGGTGTGAATATACCCATTTTACAGTTGCAGAGAGTAAGGCTCAAGAAGACTGGATAACTTCCCGAGATTATCCGTGAAGGACATCGCTCATCATCAGGGCAAAGCACATCAAAACCACAATCAGGTATCACCACTTAGCTGTCAGAATGACTAAGATCAAACACACAAGAAACAACGAGCTTTGGGCGAGGATGTGGAGAAAAAGGAACCCCCAGGTGCTGCTGGTTGGAATGCAAACTTCTGCAGCCACTGTGGGAAACCAGAATGGAGGTTCCTCAAAAAATTAAAAATAGAATTACTATATAATCCAGCAATTCCACTACTGGGCATTTACCCAAAGAATACAAGAACACTAACGTGAAGACGTCTGCACTGCTATGTTTACTGCATTATTTACAACAGCCAAACTATGGAAGCAAGCAGCCCAAGTGTCCATCAGTAGATGAATGCATAGAGAGCATGTGGTATATAAATATGCAGGTACATATAACATGGAGTATTACTTGGCCAGAAAAGGAATGAAATCTTGCCATTTACAAAACTATGGTGTGGCTCCAGAGGGTATAATGCTAAGGGAAATAAGTCAGTCAGAGAAAGACAAATACTGGAGGATATCACTCATATGTAGAATCCAAGAAACAAAACAGATGAACAAAGAAAAAAAGAGACAAGAGAAAAGACTCTTAACTGTAGAAAACGAACGGATGGTCACCAGAGGGGAGGGGGTGAAACAGGTGAAGGGGATTAAGAGGACGCTTATTGTGATGGGCACTGAGTAATGCATAGAATTGTTGAATCACTATGTCATACACCTGAAACTAATATAACACCATTTATTGGAATTACAATTTTTAAAAATTCACTGTAGTCTATCCACAGACACATAAAAAAGAAAAAAAAGGACTGTCAGGGAAGGGCAGAGCTGGGATCTGAGCATGCTTCTGCTGAACAGTCTTGGCCCCTGAGAGGGCTGCTGGGGCCCTGTCCCTCTCCCAGCAACCTAACCGGGAGGTCACCTGCATTCAGCTGCCTTTCATGCCAAGAACCAGTCTGGTCTCTCTCTGAGAGCCCTCTCTGGCTGCTCACTATGCACAGATGGAGTTAACACCCCAAGAACCATCCTCAATCAGTGAGGGGCAGGCTATGAGGGTAAATACCCCAGCTCCCTCCCCACTCAAAGGGGCAGTCTCTCTCTGAGGACTCCCAGCACAGCCTAGCAGTGACCTGCTCAGTAGCACAGCCTTTTTTTTTTTTTTTTAAAGATTTTATTTATTTATTTGACAGAGAGAGATCACAAGTAGACAGAGAGGCAGGCAGAGAGAGAGAGAGAGAGAGAGAGAGAGAGAGGGAAGCAGGCTCCCTGCCGAGCAGAGAGCCCGATGCGGGACTCGATCCCAGGACCGAGTAGCACAGCCTTTATTCCCTCTCTTCTCTTCCATCTTACTTTTCCATTTCCTCCTAGTGTTTCTGGGATCACTTCCCAAATACATTATTTGCTCCTAAGCCTTTGCTGCAGGGCCTGGTGGTGGTGGGCAGACCCCAACAGCCCCCAGGATGGCCCCTTCCCTGATACAGGTAGGGCCACAGCTATGTCTCCTTCCCACCCCACCGCTTGGGTACAAGAGAGACCCTGGTAGAGGGCCAGCTGACTAGTTCCCAGGGCTCACCCTCCTCCTGCCTCTTCTTCCATATGTGTTCCCCTCTGGTGTCAGGTTTCTGAGGCTGCTGTTCCCAGATCCCCCAGGCTCATGAGCCCCCACGACACCTACACCAGATATATCTGTCAATCTGAAACTGTACCCAATTTCCTCTTGTGGATTTACTGCCATGCCCCACCCTGAGTGGGCAGTGGACAAAGGGACCAGCTCACAGCTGGGTGGACTCAGAAAGAGGCCACATCACGGACTAGTTGCGCCAGTGAGACACTCTGTCTAGGAATTTAAAACAAGAGACACAAAGAGAAGTTCTAGTTCATGGCTGGCAGTTTTCCAATACTATCTTTGACGCTGGGCTATTTTTACTTCATAAAACTAAACTTCAAAAAGATTCTATTTTTTTTTAAAAAATCACTGTCTTCTATTCCCTCATGTACTAAATGAGGCACCTCTTTTCCTGTCTCTCCCAACTGGATTTGCTGAGCTGGGGTGGCTATGGGGAAGGAATTTCCATGTCTCCATGCAGCACAAAAACACTGAATAGAAGTGGGAAGTCTGGAAGACACAGAAGCTCAAATGATCAAACAAGGATTTGGTCAGTAACTGCTGTGTTTGACCCAGAGAGGACTGCGAGATGTCTGAAACTCGATCATTGGCTTCATCGTCGTCACCACCATCACCACCATCATCATCATCACCATAACCATCATCATCAGCTTCACCATCATCATCATCATTATCACCACAGTGACAGCCTCCATGTTTGGGCATCATCTATGCCTGAGCCACTGCACCGTAACTTCCATGGCTCCTTGGATATTCACAGCACCCCCACGAGGAAGGTGTTGTTGCCCTTTCTCTGCAGATAAAGAGAATGAGGTGAAGAGAAGTGAAGGGACCTGCCTATGGTCACAACATCGTTAGTAGGAGGCAAAGCTCAGACAGAACTCAGGTTCGTCTGACTCCAGATTTTGGGTCTTGTCCAGTATGTGCTTCTGCTCTGCCTGAGCAGCTTATTCATTTATTGCGGAGAGAGCAGAGCCCCACTACTAAACCTGTTTGAGGATGATTATGATGGCTTCTAGAAGCAAGCCAGGGGTTCAAAAAATAGAAAAGAAAGGCCTCCAGGAGGAGGAGGCATGATTGAGCTGGTCTCCAAGGACAGGTATGATTTGAACAGAAAGGAGCCCAGAGGAGGCAAAGCTGTGGCCATGTGGACAAGAACGGTGTGTGTTGTGGGCTGGGGCACAGGGTCCGTGCTGGGCACGGGATAAAATGGCGGATGATGAAGGAGAGAGAGACTGACAGGCAGTTCTAAAGCAGAGGGTGTTGGCCTTGTTCTCAACCAGGAGAGTGCATCAGGGTCATACCTGAAACTATGAAATGGTATCTATCATAGATATATAACCAAGAGAGTTATGCCTATACATTTACCACACACCAGATCCCTTCCCAGACCTGCTGAGTCAGAACTTCTGCAGGTGCAGGGGCACGTGGGTGGCTCAGTGGGTTAAAGCCTCTGCCTTCAGCTCAGGTCATATCTCAGAGTCCTGGGATCCAGCCCTGCATCCGGCTTTCTGCTCAGCGGGGAGCCTGCTTCCCCCCGCCCCTGCCTGCCTCTCTGCCTACTTGTGATCTCTCTGTCAAATTAAAAAAAAAAAAAAAAAAAAAAAATCTTAAAAAAAGAACTTCTGCGGGTGCAATCCAAGGTATTAAAGAGCTTCTCAAATGATTCTGAGGTATTCCCTCCCCTGCACTTGCCCCCAGGGAAAACCTTTGCTCCAAACCAAGCAAAGTTACAACAAGTTCTAAAGACTAGCTGGTAAATAATAAAGAGCCTGGAGAAGATAGAGAGGGGAGTGAGGGAACTGGCCAGAATGAGGTGTGGGAGTAGGAAGTCATTCCTGGGGGAAGTGAGGACCTGCTATGTAGCAGAGATTACAAATAAGTCCAGGTGGGCCAAGCCCCTGAGAGCTAGCCACAAGGTCAGGCAAAAAGTTGCCCGAAGCACGTCAGAAGCAAGTGCCAGGGCTCTGGAGTTAGGGAAGGTGGGGCCAAGTCCCAGCAGCTGTGACCTTGGGCAAGACGCCAAGCGTCTCTCAACCCCAGCTTTCTCATTTGTGTAGTGGAGAAGGTCCTACTCTGCTGAGCGGATGCAAGAATGAAGGACCACGAAATCCAAGTGCCTGCCTCAGCACCTGGTACCCAGTACAGATGTAATATGTAGCTACTCTCCTAATGCTGTCCTGGAAGAAAGCAGTTTTAGAAGAAGCTAGTTTGCTAGGGCATGTGCAGGTTGAAGGAGAAAAAGCAGACAGTAGATACCACGTGTTTGAAGCATTCACTAAAAGAATAGAGAAGAAGTGGAATGGAGCTAAGGCAGGAGACAGAATGAGCATGAAAAGGATTAAAAAAAAATTTTTTTAAAGTAAGAGATATTGGCATATTTTGTGATAGAAAAGATATAGCTGGAAAAGGGTAAGAGACTAAGATGCTACAGAGGCCATATCCAGAAGCAGAAGGGAATGTTTTCATGCTTTTAAAAATTCCCATTGGAATCTGAATCCTCCAGTTTGGCTTTCAAATAACTGACAAGTTACCAAATCTGGAGTCTGCTTTGGGCTGAGCAGAGACTTCTTATAAAACCTCCTCCTTCTCAACCAGTGGTTATTTCAATAGAATGAGCTAATAGTTCTCTAATGGCACCACAAACTCAAAGTACAGTTTACAATGGAAATTTCAACCACAACTATTACGGCCACTAGCAAGAGAAACTTAAGCCCAAAGCAAGAGGAGCTGTTTCATAAAGGAGGAATGTGCATGTTATAAAATATGGCATATATGGTTGGTTCAGTCGACATGTCTGTTAAAAGGGTATAGTAGGAAAAATTGGAGAGATAAATTGAGGCTTGGTATTGGGGTTCTTCCTAGGGCTGGGTAAGGTGATTAAGAATATTCCAGAATATGTCAGTTACGGATATCACCGTGAGCAGGGGGAAGGGAGGAGAAGAAAGTGCTTTTATCCTCAAAACACATTTATCGGTAACATACAGAATATTAAGACCGGAAAGTAGGAACAGCCCAGATTGAACCATTTGAACACTGGCTTCCCCAAATAATGATCCTACAAGCAGAGGATCTTTCCCTAAAGAGCAATCAGCAGCTTGAGTCAGCTGGAGTATTTAAAATGTCAGGCAGTTACTTGAAAGCAGATTCATGGCGCAACCATGTAAACAACCAATGCATCTGGCCTGGTCCTTTCCCCAGACAACAAGTAAATAGCAACTGTTCTGTGTTTATGAGATGGAATGGGCTTTCTGGAAGCCTCTTTTTAAAAAGTTAATACTAATCGCCACAATCTCTTGAGACTCTGTGGTGTTTCTTGGTTGTCCCCATGCTGGTACTATTTAGAGGGTGATAATGGCAGCCTTTCTTTATCCAGACGGCAAGGATTTCCCATAACCCTGACAACAGCCCCAGGGGGTGACTAATTATTTTTTTTTAAAGATTTTATTTATTTATTTGACAGAGAGAGATCACAAGTAGGCAGAGAGGCAGGCAGAGAGAGAGGAAGGAAAGCAGGCTCCCTGCTGAGCAGAGAGCCCAATGCGGGACTCCATCCCAGGACCCTGAGATCATGAGCGAAGGCATGAGCGAAGGCAGCGGCTCAACCCACTGAGCCACCCAGGCGCCCTGGGGGTGACTTATATTACACAATCTCACTTAACCCAATTTTAGATGGTCAGGTAACTTGCTTTACTTGCATCCTCATTTAAATCCCTCCTTATCCTAAACGGAGTTGGGGGGAGGGAGACATTTCCTGGACCCCACCAGGAATGGCAGAGCTAGGATCCGCTGAAGGAAGGTTGATCCCCACAGCCTGTTCTGCCACGCAGGGGTCCAGCCTCTCTCAACCTGTATCCACGGCCATAGAGGATGCTCTCTGGGGCAGGACCACTGAGGGGGACAGAAGTGACAGCCAGCAACTCTTCCTGGTGGCAAACTTCAACCAGCCCATCTTCACAATGCAAGCAGAATGGCATCTGGAAGGAGGAAGCTGGGCCCTGGCAGAGCCAATGGGGAGGATTTCCATGGAGGAGATGTGCCACTCATGCCTTGCTGATCCCAAACTGCTCTAATCAATGAAGAGACCAGAGAGGCCCCCATGGCTCCTTCCTTTCCCTCAGCAAGAGCTACCATCAGAAGACTGTGTGGCACAAACAAGATCACAGAGAACAGAAACTTGGGAGTTGACCTCATCAGTCTCACTGGGAATCCGTGAGCAGACAAGAAAATCCTGGAACCCAGATAAGGAAACCAGATGACCCGCCCCGCCCCGGCACCAGAAGGATCACCAGAAGGATCACGAGCTCCAGTTACTAGGAAGGGGCAGAGTTAAGAGCTATGGGGGCCCATCTGACTCCCCTCTCCTTTTAATTATTTCATGTCATGTCATGATTCTTTTGCTTTCACAGGAAACAATGTCTGTCCATGGGGTTTGGAATCTGGCCTGTCCAGTGGATGTTCAGGACAGCTTCCCACACCACTGCCTCCAATCCAGTGTCCCCCACCGCATACTCCATCCGACTGCCTGCTCTGGGAGGCAGGATTGTGGGGAGAAAGCAACGTCTCCCCGCAGACCAGAGCTAGCATTTGAGGCTCTGTCCCAGTGGAATGTGGAGAAGCAGGGGTGGGAAGACACCTCAGCCACAAGCCTGGACATCTGGTCTCTTGCTGACTCCTTCACTGGGATGGCTAGCTTCTCTCCAAAGACAGGCTGCAGCCAAAGCCAGGCACAACAGTGACCATGCGCCCCAACCCCAGGCACCAGGGACAGCTCCGGACACCTGGGCTGAGTGAGGTGAGGCAGCTGCCTCACCTGCCTGGGCAGCCCTGCCAACACCTAGGTGATCAGCCTAGAGGATGCTATCCATAGCGTCTGGTCCTAGGAGGCGACCGAAGAAGAAGCCAGGCCAAGCTTTGCTAAGGTATCTGGTATCTGATGGTAACAGCTACTGTATATTGGCCACCTATTCTACAACAGGTGCCCACACAGACCATGGCATTTAATTCTAACAAGAAACTGAGAAGAGGATGTTAAGGGACTTGCCCAATGTTGCCCAGCTAGTGAGTGGCAGAGGAGGACCCCGAGCCTAGCACTGACTCCAAAGCACTGCTGGGGTGGAGTTGGGTGGCCGTTCATACTGCCCCCCCCATCTGAAAATTCACACTGCTGGGATTTAGGATTCTGACTTTCCTTCCCTGCATCACATGGCATTGGGGGAAGCCCAGACAGACCAGCAGCAAAGCTGTCTGGGCTTTTTGTCCCCACACGGCATCCTAACTATGTCTTGGGAAGATGGCACAAACTCAAAGCCCAACATACAAGCTAGAACTTGAGATCCTTGGCCTCTCTGCAAAACCACAGAGCCCGAGTACCAGGGGCCAGCAAGCTTCCGCTTACACAGGGGGCGGGGGGGGTGTAAATGCACACTTGAAGAAGACAATTGCGGGGTAGCGGCCAGCAGCGCGTAAACAGGTGGTGACCCTGGCTGCCCCTGAGTGAACCCAGCCGGAGACTCTCGGTGAACAGGCTGCGATCCAGACCTTTCGGCAGGAAGTCAGAATGAGGTGGGAGTTGAGCTCACCCTGAGCGGCCAGCCGATCACTCCGAATCTGCAGCCGGCTCTTCCCGGCCCCTTCGCAGAACGGAGTATCCCGGCGAGCGCTCGAAGCGCGGCTTGCCCCAGCCCCCCGCCGCCCCCACCAGGCGCTCCCCCGAACCCCAGCCGGCCAGACGCACCCACCTCCTCCACCGCGCTGCGCAGTTTGTGCTGCGTGTCCTCCATCAGCTCCTCAACCTCGCGGAACATCTCGTTGAGGGTGGCCTCCTCCTGCGGGTAGCTGAGAGCCGGGGCGGGCTCAACGGGCGCCGCGGTCGCTGTGGGAGCCGGCGCGGGGGCCGTGGGGACCGCCGCCGCCAGCAGCAGGCACAGCAGGGTGCCTACGAGCCGCTGCATCTCCGCTCTGCTCCAGCCGCTGCCGCTGCCTGCGTCCCGGAACCTGATCAGAGGCGCGCCGACCACCCCCTCGCCCGCCCCGCAGCCCCGCCCCCCGCCCCGCGCCCCGGCCCGCCCCCGGCGCCCCTCTTCCCCGCACCCACTCTGGAGGAGACAAAACCGAGGGCCCTCCAGACGCGGCCCCCCGGCTCTGCTCCAGCCCCGCGCCCCCTCCCCTCCGCACCCCCACTCTCTCCTCGGGCCGGGGCTGAGCTCTGCCCCCATCCCCAGGGATAGCCTCCTCCCCGGAGCAGCAACAGAACCGAGTTCCCAACACCCGCGGCGCCACCGCTCACCCCCGTGCAGTCCTCGGTTCTAGCCCGGCCTCTCCACGACCAGGTCCGAGCGCAGCTCTGGAGTCGCGACCCCACTCCCACCCCAGCCCCGTGCAGCCCACTCCGGGGCGATCCGAGCGCCCGTCGGCACCCTCCCCGCGGGGTCCGAACCCAGGCGAGCGTCCACCCCTCACCCGCCCAAGCGAGACCTAACAGAGCCCGCCCGGCCCCCCCCATTCCCCGCCACCCCATTTCCCGCCACCGTCCCTCACCCACCGGACTGGACCGAGCTGTGCGCGGGCTGGACCTGCCAGACCTCGCCGGGACTCTGCCGGCTGCGGGCACCGGAACTGGGACGGGAGCGGCGCGGGGGCGAGGAGCACGCGGGGATGCGGCAGCGCTGGTACCCGGCGAGCCCGCAGCGCGCCCCGCCCGGCGGGAGGGGCTGCCGCCCGGACCCACGCCATTGGCCGCCCGCCGCCCGCGACCTCGCGCCGCAGGCCAGCTTCCTCCGCCTCCGCGAGCCGCCCCTTCCCTGCATCCCTCGGCCGCCGCCGCATCCCGGTCCATTGTCATTAGGGCCCGGATTCCCGCTATAGCTTATGGCGGACGCGGGGAGGGTGTGCTTCCCGCGGCCCCCTTGCCCTTCCCAAGCCATCCTCTGGCCCGCATGCAGGGCAAAGCCCCAGCCAATCAGACTGGCGGCCAAGGCCGGTCACTGGCTGGCCTTCATCCGCCTGCCATGCTTGACGCCTTACTCTGGCCAAGATAACCCACTTGTAGCTCCCGGAGCTCGTGAGAATGTCAGCGAGCTTCTCCAGGGCGACATAACAGTGGCTGAGAGCAGGCAGCGGCGGCCAGACTGCCTGGTGTGAATCCCAGCTCTGCTTCTTACGACTTTACCAACCTGGCCAAGTCCCCAGATGTGTCTGCGCTCCACTTAGCCCGAACGGAAAATGGAGGTTAGTGTAGTGAGTGTACTTAGTAGTTAACGAGCATAACGCATGCAGGCGAGTGTGGGGCACGTGGTAAGTGGGAGATGTGAGCTAATCGTCGTGGGAACGCAACTTTGTCTTACTCACCGCAGTCTCCCCAGCATCTAGAACGAGGGGCACTCACTGTTTTCTAACACTTTTTAAAATATGTGAGTATCCAGAACAGGAAGCACTCATATATTTCTTAAATGAAGGAGTGTTTTCTTTCCCCCTACCCTGAAGATTTTATTTATTTATTTGAGAGAGTGACAGAGAGAGAGAGAGAGGAGGGGGAGGAGAGGAGCAAGGGGGAGAGGGAGGGAGAAGCAGACGCCCTGCTGAGCAGGGAGCCCGCCATGGGGCTAGATTCCATGACTCTGGGATCATTACCCAAGCTGCAGGCAGATGGTTAAGGGACTGAACCACCCAGGCGCCCCTAAATGAGTATTTCCTTAAACCTCCTCCTATTTCTCCCTAAACTCTTTCTGTCTGGCGAGCTCTCCCTCCTCCTGTTGGTCTATCTAACTCTTCCACATCTTTCAAGAGCTAGGAGTCTGTCCTGAGCTCTCCCAACTGCCCCCCATTTCTTCTGTTTCCCTTCCCATGTGCTGATCTATTGCCCCAGATTTGCCATGGTCCTACTAGTCCCTGGCCCATTTTCCCCGAGTGACCAGGAGGAGCCCCTCAGTGACAGAGAATGACTTCCTCACCTTTGTGTTCCCACCACCAGAGCCATAATACACACTTGGCTCCTGAGAAATGCATGGGCTAATCAGCATAACAAGAGCTATTTTTTAAGAAAGATTTTATTTATTTATTTGAGATACAGTGACAGAGAGCATGAGAGAAAGCAAGAGAGAGTGAGCATGAGTGGGAGGGTGGAAGGGCAGAGGGAGAAGGAGAAGAAGGTTCCCTGCTAAGTGGGGAGCCTGGCATGGGGCTCCATCCCAGGACCCCGGGATCATGACCTGAGCTGAAAGCAGATGCTTAACCTACTGAGCCACCCAGGCATCCCCAACAATAGCTATTCCTATTTTGAAATAGCAATACTTACTTAGTGCCATGTGTCAGGACAAGGTGTTAACTCATTGAATCTCAGACAGCCTCTGAGGTTGGTAGGACTACGTCTATTCCCATTTTACAAGTAAGGACACTTTCCTGAGGCCATGTAGCCATTAAGTGGTTGAACTGGGATTCAAACCCAGGAATCTGGTTCCAGAGTCTTCATCCTTTGCAGCTTAACTCCTCTGCTCTAAACTGGCTGGGAGGTTTTGGAGCTGACTTGGGAGTATTAAATGAATAATTTCTGCAGGTGACCACTTGGAAAACATGTGTTTGAGGATGAAGGAATTCAGGACATGCCTCTGCAAATACTGATTATTTTGAGCTGAGGGTGCTTGAGAAATAGCAGATGCAGGAAAGGCTCTCAGACCTCCCCTTTAAAAACAGGCCATGAGATGCCGTGTGAGGAAGGTGCCTTCTGTGTACCAGCAAGAGAAGAATGTCTTTAGCATTAAGTAAGTACTGGGAACTGATGTCAAAATGGGTCGGTACTAGCAAAATCACTAAAATGACACTATCTTCTACTAGTTCCCCCCTGCCCCCAAATCTAGTCACTTCTCCACAATTTACCCTCCAGAGCCTAGAGCCCTTTGCCTGTCATTTCGTCACAAATGTATTGTCTCTTTGTCTAAAAAGTCTGTAAGCTTTCCGCCCTGGTCACTTTCTTGGGTCCTCATTTTCTTGCAAAGGCTCCCATGTACGTGTGAGGTGGTAGTAAAATTCGTACACCTTCTGTTACTCTGCCTTATGTCAGTTCAATTCTTAGGCCCAGCTGGAGACCCTACAAGGGTAGAGGAAAAATGTTTCCTCCCGTACAGGGCTCATGGCCTCTTCGTCCTGTTCCTACACTTGAGTCCGCAGCAGAGTGTCAAGTGGGGAGAAAGCATATTTAGGCCTTCTCGGCACTGGACACTGTGCACACAGAGACACGGTGCACGTCGAGACTCAGAGAAGTTAGGCCATCCTTTCAAAGCCAGACAATAACTGAGGGGTCATCTGGCAGGAGACTCAGGTGTGGCTGACTCTGAAACTAGTCCTTATTTCTCATGACTGCCTTTCTTTGTGGAGCTTTCTGCATTACTGTTTATCGTAAAAATGAGGCTTCTTGCTATGTTCTCTTCAGCTTCTGAGCCTCTGGGCTGGGCTCTCCTTCGAATCCAGAGAAGGCTCCCTCCCCCAGCATCCCCTGCTCTGTCCTCTGGGCATTCGGCCACTCACCTATTCCTTAGCTTTCTGGAGGCAACTGAGCCCATGTAAGGACCTGGAGCCAACTTACCCCTTGAGGCCCACATTCTAGGAAGAAACTGACGCACGTCGGCAGGCTGTGGCCAGGGGGCACCCCCGGGCCAGGCCAAGCTGCCAGGGTGTTGATTTATAGAGCAAACCGTGCTCCTTCAGCCTTCCATGGTGCTGGCTGTGAAGACTGAGAATTGCCCTGAATAAGAACTTGTCTTCTGCCTTACGTGCTTCCATGAGGTTTGGAGGTCTTGACTTTCAGACTGAACTTAAAAAAAAACCCAAAAAACCAAAAAACACATTGAGCTACCCCAAGTGTCAGGTGAAGGGCTATGTTCTTTCTCATATGGGGCCTATAATTTATGCTCCAAAATGTGGGGATGTATTGATAGCTCCCATTATTAAGTGCAACTACAAAACAAACAAACAATGACAACAACAAAATGGGGAGGAGGAGGGAAAAAAAGGTAAGAACATTTATGGGCCTCAGTATAAGAAAATAGAAATGTCCTCCCTGCCCAGCTTCTTGCCAATCTGATCAAGAGCCTGAGGCATTCACAGGCAATGAGGAAAGACACTAGGGTCGGCCGAGATATGGCGCCGACTAGATCCACACACAGTCTGGGCTCCAAGAAGCTTGGAGGCAGGGGTAGGGGAAGCCCTGTGGGTTGGGGACCTGAGTTGAGAAAGGGTCATGCTCGAAATGGCCATTATAAGGTGAGGAGTCCACGGGCACACGGAGCAGGCCAAGCTGGCCAGAGCTGGCCAGATCAATCATCTTTAGGATGAGGAACATTCTACAATTCCATAATTTCTATTATATCACTGGTCTAAGTTCTATAACAATTAAGGACATTTGTTTTTTTTTTTTATTTCAAGGTTTTGGAAGCACTCTGTAATTATAATTTTAAAATTCTAAGTTTTCCCATTTTCTCTATGAAGGACCTAGAGAGTCCTAAACCAGGTTCCTATTCCATTACTGAGGAAGTGGGAGCAGAGTGGGTGTTGTCTGCTAAAAATTACCTAGAAAGCTAGCACCCACACAGCAAATTCACGGGCAGCTGTCCGCCCTCCAGAAACTCGTGACCATGTGCTCACGGAGATGTGTATAAAGATGTTTACGGAAGCCACTATTTACAGTAGCAGAAAATGTGAAAACCACTCACTTAGTGGTTTTTTTCAGCAGGAGAATGGTTACACTGGGATTTCTACAAACAAGAGAATACAGAATTAACATAATGAATACTATTTCTAGGCAACAACATGGATAGATCTCAGAAGAAATAACGCGGAGCAGGAAAGACAATTTGCAGAATGGTCTGTATACAATACTGTTTGTGCATGTTTTAAAAACACAAAATGGCCAGGGCGCCTGGGTGGCTCAGTGGGTTGGGCCTCTGCCTTCGGCTCAGGTCATAATCCCAGGGTCCTGGCATCGAGCCCCGCATCGGGCTCTCTCTCAGCGGGAAGCCTGCTTCCTCCCTTCCTCCTCTCTCTCTGCCTGCCTCTCTGCCTACTTGTGATCTCTGTCAAATAAATAAATAAAATCTTTAAAAAAAAAAAAACACAAAATGGCCATTTCTATGGGTCATGGATGCTACGAATGTAGTTAAAAAAAATACAGAAATGTGTAGGCTGCTCCTGAGGCCGAAGGCAGAGGAAGAGATGGGGGTTCTCCTCATTTGGATTTATAACACTTTATTTCTTTCAGAAAGAGAGTGTACCAGCAGGGAGAGGTTCTGAATTAGAAGTGGCCAAAATAGAAAGAGAGTGTACCAGCAGGGAGAGGTTCTGAATTAGAAGTGGCCAAATGATATGTCTTTAATCATCACGGTTGATCAGCTACATGTGGGTGTATGGGAGTGTCCACTATTATTTTCAGTATGTTTGAAAGAGTTTGTGAATAAATTGAAGCCCTCCCCACAAAAAAGCAATAGGCGAGTCCCCCTACCCCCATCCCACTGCCCAGAATAACACAAAGCGAAAACCTCCCAGTGCCAAAGAGACATTTCTTAGATCTGCTCTTAAGAGAAATGCTCACCTCCCCGAGGCCCAGCGGTGGCCTCCATTACTGTGAGGTGAGAAGCAGGAGTGGGAGGGTCCCCACAGGCCTGCGGGGAGGCG